CCCATGGGGACTGGGTAGCTGGCAAAAAAGTCCACTGAAGTATGGGGTTCTGCTAAAGGAAGACAGATTTTCCTAGAGAGGGTTAATCAGCTATTAGGAGGAGCACAACACTTTTGGCTGAACCTTTGGGCAAGACAGGGTGGAGTGGGGGGTTTGCCTGGGCCAGGAAAAAGATATTTGCACCCCACTCTAGTCAGAGCAATGGCAAAGTGTTACATGTGCTCCCCAACAACAGTGTATTATTGGGGGGGGCATAATGCCAGAAGCAAGCTATTTGGTCCCTCTAAATCAGTGGTGGCTAAACATGGCCCTCCAGCTGTTTTTGGACTACAACTCCCATCATCCGTATCTAACAGGACCAGTGGCCAGGGATGATGGGAATTGTAGTCCCAAAACAGCTGGAGGGCCAGGTTTGGCCACGACTGCTCTAAATCAAGTGTGGCAAACCTGCAGACCTCCTGATATTTGCTGGACTACAACTCTCATTTACTATGCCAGCTAAGGCTGATGGAAGCTGCATCAAATAGCATCTGGGAAGCCACAGGGCTAGTTTCCCAATCTTGGGTGTCCAGCTGTTTTTGGACTACAGTTCCCATCATCCCTGACAGCTGGTCTTGCTAGCTAAGGATGATGGGAGTTGTAGTCCAAAAACAACTGGAGAAACACTGGTTTGGGAAACACTGGGCTAGCCGCTCTCATTCTTGACCATGGCACGGCATCCTGGACCGTTTCAGCAATCTGAAGAGCCAAGAAGTCCAAGGGAGCCTCTGAGCTTGTGTTCTCGCTCATCCAGCTTCCGTGGTGCATGGCAAATTGCTTTTAAAAAACGGAAGCCTGGGAGTCCCGTGAAACATGACACAGGAATCTGCTGATCAGAGATGGGAATACGGAGTTTTAAACAAACCCAAAACCAATGGACAGACTGAGCAAAGGCATGAATCCAAGGAACCCCCAACAGAGACTATGAGCATCAATAGCAAGGACCTGAAAAGTTGTATTTACCGTATTTTTCGCTCTATAAGATGCACCGGACCACAAGATGCACCTAGTTTTTGGAGGAGGAAAACAAGAAAAAATATATTCTGAATCTCAGAAGCCAGAACAGCAAGAAGGATCGCTGCGCAGTGAAAGCAGCGATTCCTCTTGCTGTTCTGGCTTCTGGGATAGCTGCGCAGCCTGTATTTGCTCCATAAGATGCACACACATTTCCCCTTACTTTTTTAGGAGGGAAAAAGTGAGTCTTATAGAGCAAAAAATACGGTATTTGCTTTTTAAGGCGCTAAAGCATATGTTCTTTTCATGACCTCCTCTCAGAGCCAAACTAGACCTGAACTTAAAAGCCTTTTGCAATTTTTTTTTAAAATGCAAGTTAATTACAAAATCCTATCAGCATACTTAAGGGGCCGATAATTAACGGGATCAGAGCAGACGTAGAAGGGAAATTTAACCTTTTCCTCCCATTCTGCAGTCTTGAAGGAAAGCCCTCTTGAACATGATGTGAGTTTCTTGGAGATAAGTGGGTAAAAACATCATCCTCCAAAAGCAAAGGCAGTAAGCCCACAACTTGTGCACCTTTAACTTGTGCACCTTCAAGTTTTACACACGTGGGGAAAATTAAAAAGAGTGCAGGGTTCCAGGAAAAATGTTGTTGGCAATCCCAGCCACCATTGAAGCCAATGTGTTTTGACTATACGCAACTTTGGCTTTAAGACGCGATCGCCGGAACGTAACTCCTGCATAAACTGCTGGTTTACAGCCCCAATTACAGAAGATTTTCCTCCGGACTGTGACATGGGAGGAATTCGCTCTCCATGCCTGCACTAATCCCGTTAATTATCAGCACCCTCGGCCCCCACCCCTCAAAGCTGATGCAACCTGCATTTTAAAAAACCAGCACGTCAAGTCTGTCGGTTGGCCCTAAGCCCATATTCTGTGCTTACATGGGGTGGGTCCCAGTTCTGCGAAGAAGCACAACTTGAAAGGAGGGATGTTTTCAGAAAAAACTCAGTTTTTCATTTGAGCTCAGGGGAAGTACTGTACGCAGAGCACCGATCCGGAAAAAAACAACACCGTATTCAAATAAATCTAGGCATTTACAAGGAGATTCGACACTCCTTTTGGATTATTTTATCGAATTCCAGCATCCAGGAAAATATTTCTTTTTAAATTTTTGCAATTCGACACATTTTGCCGTCGTAAATACAACCAGCTTGGACTGAACAGTGCTGGACAACTCTTAAGAGTTGCATTTTAGCATACAGGTGTGCTCTTGGGATTAAATGAAAGACTAGTTTGAACAGCCTGCTCAGCTATCTATTTCGCTGTAAATTAGGAAGTCGCCTTACAACAGGGGCAGAAGCTTTTCATCCATCTGTTCCCAACCTGGGACATTTATTTATTTATTGCACGCAGAGCCTATCAACATGCATGCTTCGTTTTCTGTTAAGAACCTGCTTCACACAAGGTCAGAGACAATTTTGTCCAGCTAGGCCTGGGTAGAGAACCTGCGACCCTCTATATCGGGCATGCAGAAACATCTCTGGGTGTTCCTGAACTACAACTCCCACCATCCACCCCTGCAGTGGCCACGCTAGCACGGGCTGATGGGAGTTGTGGTTCGGCAACGAATGGAAGGTTTCGCCCATCCCTGGTCTAGCATAACAGTGTTGTCTATTCTGACTGGCAATGGCTCTTCCTGTGTCTCAGGTATCATCTGATCCTTTCAGCTGAAAAACACCAGGGCCTGAACTTATCCTGGAGGAGTCACCCAGAGTGGCTGGGGCAAACCAGTCAGATGGGCAGGGGTACAAATAATAACATTATTGTCATTATTATTAACTACTGCAGGCAAAGCATGGGCTGTACCCACTGAGCTATGGGTCTTCTTCCTAAATTGCACCCTATCAACACATGAAAGTGGCAGATTTCACACAAACCTGTGCCAACTCCCAGCCTGGGCGACCTTTTTGCACATACTGTATTTTTCCGTGTCTAAGTCTATATTTCCCCCCATTTTTAAAAAAGTTTAAAATTGGGGGTCGTCTTATACACGGAATGTTGAAATTAATTATTTCTTAATTTGGGGCTCAAAAAATTGGGGTGGTCTTATACTTGGGGACGTCTTATACACAGAAAAATACGGTAACTCTTTGGCTTGGCTTTCTGAATGTCACGGCAAGTAACAGTGGGTTTCTCTGACCCATGCCAACTAAATCAGACTGAAGCAATCAGGTGATTTCAAGTCAGCATGGATCAACTTAGAACCACAGGCTTTCGCATTCTGATGGGGCTGGGAGCCATGATATTTTATGTCAGCATTCTCAAATCATTATTATGCAGCTAGTGCCACAACTTCTCCCCAAAATTCACCTAAACATTACTTTTTCACAAATCCTGACCAGAGATTCATTAAGCGCTCCACCTGCTGGTCAAAGAGTCAAACTGCACTGCAGCTTATTTCATTCTGATTTTCCCCCCTTTCTGCCAACACTCTGATGGAGCTGTTGCCACTGAAACTAACTGAAAGCACACCAGTGCAGGTAGATAAATAGGTACCACTGTGGCGGGAAGGTAAACGGAATTTCTGTGTGCCCTGGCTTCTGTCATGGTGTCCCGTTGCGCCAGAAGCGGTTTAGTCATGCTGGCCACATGACCCGGAAAGATGTGCGGACAGGATAGTCATTTAGAGGCCTGTTAAGAGAAATCTAAAATAGAGGTCTGTTGTGATTGTTGTGGGGTAAGGGGGATTATCTTTTCTTACTTAGTATAATCTGGACAGACATTATTTACATACACGTCGTCTTATTCATAAAACTCCATAGCGTTTTGCTGTTTTTTATCTCATTAAGCCTCACAGCAACTTTGCGAGGGAGGCCGTTCCAGCCCCCATTTTACAGACGGAGAACTGAGGCTGAGTGTACACAAGTTTACCCAAAGATCGCCAGTGAGCTTTGCAGCTGAAATTATTGTGATTTCCCACATCCATATCCAACCTTGTTTTGCTTTTTTATAAAAAAAAATCACATTCTACTATGGGTTGCTATAGGAAAAAAAATGGTTTGGCTTGGTAAAGTTGTAGCCCTAGAGCCCTGGGACAATTCTCTCACTCCAAAGCTCTTATCAGTATTAATTGGCAAGATATCCCAAGGAACTCAAGGGCACCAAACATGGGTTTTCACTGTTCTGTCCTCACAACAACCCTGTGAGGTAGGTTAGGCCGAGAGAGAGAGGGACAGGTGATATGGTCAGCCAGTTAGATTTGAACCCAGGCCCAAAGCCAGGGCTACACCACGCCTTCTCATCAGTGTTGGTGTTTCTGTGTCTAAGCCCTATATGGCTTAGGACCCTCGTACCTACGGGACCGCCTCTCCTGGTATGTCCCACAGAGGAACTTACGGTCTTCAAATAAAAACATCTTGGAGGTCCCAGGCCACAGAGAGGTTAGGCTGGCCTCAACTAGAGCCAGGGCTTTTTCGGCTGTGGCCCCAATCTGGTGGAAGGCTCTGTCACAAGAGACTAGGGCCCTGCGGGACTTGACATCTTTCCGCAGGGCCTGCAAGACAGAGCTGTTCCACCAGGCCTTTGGTCAGGGCGCAGCCTGACTCCCTCATTTGACAATCCTCACAGAACCTCTAGCCCAATGGTTGCCATTAATTTGATTAGAATTAATTTTATAATGAAATGATTTTAGAATGTTTTATCATTTTACTGTTGTTAGCCGCTCTGAGCCCGGCTTCAGCTAGGGAGGGTGGGATATAAATAAAATTTATTATTATTATTATTATTATTATTATTATTAGGGTGGAGGCTGGCTAGAGAGGGGACCCCTCACCCCGCAATGGAAACGAAACCATCCCTAGAGGAGAGGCATTATACGTGGGAGCTTTCCATTTCCCTCTAATTTTTTATAGCCCTGTACATCATAGGCAGCAAAGAACAGGCTCTTGGGGGCTTTGCGGTACCTTCTTCAGTTTCACAAAGGGTAGGGACTCGCACAGATACACAGTCACTCACACAGAACATCTTTAAATAAGAGGATTGTGGAGAATAAATACTGTACATAGGAGCCCACCTCCTGGCAAAGAGGAGGAAGGCAGATAAATATGTCTCCTGCTATACAGATAAAACCATCGGGGAGGGTGCGGTGGGGTGGGGAAAAAAATCGCAGGCCAGCCCAAACAAACCAGATAGATAATGATGCAAATTATCCTCGGGACTCCAGAGATCTGAGGAAACAAAGAGAGACAGGAAATACCAACCATGAGAGCAAGCAGGGAGGCAGGCAGACACAAAAGAAGTTTTTCTTAAAACTCTGAGAAAGGGCTAATATTTTTTTTCCATGTGGCCACTCTAGTTAACTAACACGGGTGGCGCTGTGGGTTAAACCACAGAGCCTAGGACTTGCTGATCAGAATGTCAGCGGTTCAAATCCCCGCAACGGGGTGAGCTCCCCTTGCTCGGTCCCTGCTCCTGCCAACCTAGCAGTTCAAAAGCATGTCAAAGTGCAAGTAGATAAATAGGTACCGCTCCAGCGGGAAGGTAAATGGCATTTCCATGTGCTGCTCTGGTTCGCCAGAAGCAGCTTACTCATGCTGGCCATGTGACCCGGAAGCTGTACGCCGGCTCCCTTGGCCAATAAAGCGAGATGAGCACCGCAACCCCAGAGTCGGCCACGATTGGACCTAATGGTCAGGGGTCCCTTTACCTTTATCTAAGAGCAAGCTAGGATGTGATGATGGCAAGGGAGAGGAAGGGAGAGGTGGGTCACAAGAAAACCAGATCAATTGGTTTCTGAACAAAGGCGAAATAATGAGGAGGGGGAGCTAAGGAGTTTGCATTGTTCATTTCCTCTGTTCCTTGTACCACAACCATTTTTTGTAAGCTTGAAAATCATATATAACTATTAAAAGGGTTAAGGGTTCCTGGTTAACATTGCATAGTTATGATGCTGCCTCTTTGCATTACTGTCGGTCACCTGCTCCAGTCAATTTCTGAAGACACCTCCTCCTCGTCTCTGTCCGATCATTAAAGCCAATCATCTTCTGCATGTTATCAAGAAGCGAGGTGACAGTGAACCAGGCAGAGGGCCTTCTCAGTAGTGGCGCCCGCCCTGTGGAACGCCCTCCCACCAGATGTCAAGGAAATAAACAAAAATCTGACTTTTAGAAGAAATCTGTTTAGGGAAGCTTTTAATTTTGATGTTTTTAATATTCTGTTGGGAGCCGCCCAGAGTGGCTGGGTATAAATAATAAATTATTAATATTAATATTGTTATTTTTATTATTGTCATGCTTTATTGCATTTATGTACTTTTCACTTATGTTGTCAGTACTTTGTATTGATCGTTTTATTGTATTGCTTTTGGTAATTTGGGTCTGTTTGCTTTTTTAAGTTGCCATCCACTCCCTAGATATATTTAACATAAACGACCCTAAATAAATTAATATTGAGGGTTCTGCACCCGGATTTCTCCTCTCTTCCGTGCCTGCCCTTTCCCCTTGCCAACACCCAACTGTGTCATTTGCAAGACGCTCTCCCAGAAGCATCAAATATTGATCTCACTCCCTCTCTCTATAGGGAGACACAAATAGAATTCAGAGGGAAAGCATGTATTCCTTACCCCAGTTCTAGATTTGCACGTTGATCAGATACCAGGAAGATTTCAACACTGCGATTTCAGATTTGATGCCAGCAATGAGGATAAATCAGATTCCAAATATAAACCCCAACTTCTCTCCCAAACCTAATGGCTAGACTTGTGTGACTCAGCTGACACTGTCAGCCACCTGGCTTCAAGCTACCGTACTTTTCGCTCTATAAGACACACATTTCCCCCTCCAAAAGTTAAGGGGAAATGTATGTGCGTCTTATGGAGTGAATATAGGCTCCTTGGCTTCAGCGATAGCAACGCGAAGCCTCCGAAGCGCAGAGGGAGCGTTCCTGCCGCGCTCCAGAGGCTTCGGGTTGCCTTCACTGAAGCCTGGAGAGCGAGAGGGGTCGGTGCACACCGGGTTCCTTTCGCTGAAGGGTAGGTGCCCCTTCAGCTAAGGCACAGTGCCCCTTCAGCCAAGCGGGAGGAGAAATGGAAGGGGCTCCGTTTCTCCTGCCGCTTCGCTGAAGGGGCACTGCGCAGAGAGGGGGAGATTTTTTCTCCCCCTCTAAAGCAAGGTGTGTCCTATGGTCGGGTGCGTCCTATAGAGCGAAAAATACGGTACACCTGCTGCCATCTCACCTTCCAGGTGCGGCAGCCCCGCCCACTTCTGCCCCTGGCCACCCAAACTATCCCCCAGAAGAACCGCTGCTTGGAAAGCCCTGTTTCCCGGCCCGCTCTTACGAGTAGCTGTTATGCTGCTGCCGGCGCCGCGCCGTCCGCATCTTCTCAAAGCGCGCCTCCATTTCTTCGAGTACTTTGGGCGTGTAGCGCACAACCAGTTTCACGGTACCCTGGGCTGCTTTCAGGAGCTCCACCGCCCGCTCGTGTTGCTCGCCCTCCACGCTCTGCAGGAAACAAAGAAGAAAAGCAACGCTGCAAGAGAAATAAGTGCATTTCCTGATGCAAGACTCCACCTTTTGCCTCCCGTCGTCACTGCTGAGGTCCGTGAGAAGCAGCCGTCCCTGCCTCGAATGACGTATTTACGCAAGCGGGAATAACAGCAAAACGCTGCAGTGTGAAGCCAGCCCCGTTTTCCCTCTCCTTAAATGGCTCAGGATGGCAACACCTCAAGGACTCCTTGTCTCCATAAGAACCTACCCAGACCCTGAGATCATCTTCCAAGGGCCTCCATTGTATGCTGCCTCCTCGACAGGTCCGGAGGGTGGCAACACAAAAACGGGGCCTCCTCTGCAGTGGCTCCCCATCTGTGGAGTGCTCTCCCCAGGGAAGTTTGCCTGGCGCCTTCATTATACACCTTCAGGCGCCAAGCGAAAACGTTCCTCTTTAACCAGGCCTTTGGCTGATTGACATCCAATGCCCTTTTAAAATGTGTTGGGGAGAGGGGATTATTGGTTTGTTTCTGCTCTTTTTATTACAGTGGTACCTCGGTTTTCGAACATAATCCATTCCGGAAGACCGTTCGACTTCTGAGGCGTGTTCAAAAAGGGAAGCATTTACTTCTGGGTTTACGGCGTTTGAAAACCAAAATGTTCGTCAACGGAGATGTTCGAAAACCGAGGTACCACTATATTTTTTATTTTATTGCGATTTTATGTCGTGAGCCACCCTGAGATCTATAGGTGTACAAATCTAATAAAGAAAAAAAAATAACAGCCATCAATCAGCTAGAGTAAACCTCCAGATAACATGTGGTTTTTTGGAAACTATATAATTTTATGTATTAAAGGTAAAGGGACCCCTGACCATTAGGTCCAGTTGTTGCCGACTTTGGGGTTGTGGCGCTCATCTCGCTTTACTGGTCGAGGGAGCCGGCATACAGTTTCCAGCATGACTAAGCTGCTTCTGGCGAACCAGAGCAGCGCATGGAAACGCTGTTTACCTTCCTGCCGGAGCGGTACCTATTTATCTACTTGCACTTTGACATGCTTTCAAACTGCTAGGTTGGCAGGAGCAGGGACCGAGCAAAGGGAGCTCACCCCATCGCGGGGATTCGGACCGCCGACCTTCTGATCGGCAAGTCCTAGGCTCTTTGGTTTAACCCACAGCGCCACCCGCCTCCCAATTTTATCTATTATGTCTATATAAAATCAACAACACGTGTGCAACCACAAACCAGCCAATCAGCCAATCAGGATTCCGCAATTGACTGAGCACGCTCTGTATCCCCTGAGTTGTTTTGGATCTCCACCCACCCCAACTGTTTCCGCTTCCTGCAAACCCGTATCCCGCTTCCATGCACCCAAAAGGAAGCCTCTTGGATCGCCTGCCCCCCAATATACACACCACGCCATTGACCGACAGCAACTGATCTCCTCGCTTGAGGCCGCCGTGGCGGTCAGCCACGCCCCCTGGGATGATGCGGGAGATGTAGATGGGAGAATTCTGCTCCTTTCCCCCCATGATGTTGAAGCCCAGGCCTTCGTCCGTCTTGGGCAGCTCCACCACCCGTGGGTGCGCGTGGCCTTCGCTCGCTGCGAAAGCAGCCACCGTCGCCTGGATGTGGGGAGGAAGCAGAGAAGAGTCTGCACCAGTATTTAGGACTGTTTCGAAGACGTCTTTAAAAGTCAGTGGTGAAGAAGAAGAAGAGTTTGGATTTGATATCCCGCCTTTCACTCCCTTTAAGGAGTCTCAAAGCGGCTAACGTTCTCCTTTCCCTTCCTCCCCCAGAAGAAACACTCTGTGAGGTGAGTGGGGCTGAGAGACTTCAAAGAAGTGTGACTGGCCCAAGGTCACCCAGCAGCTGCATGTGGAGGAGCGGAGACGCGAACCCGGTTCCCCAGATTACGAGACTACCGCTCTTAACCACTACACCACACTGGCTCTTAACCACTACACCACAGTGGCAACACCCTTCCCCTCGTGCCCCAATTCCCTCGGGTTTTCATTTCCGACTCATCCCTCATCATCTCTCTTTGAAGGTGACCCGGAAACTACAACTAATCCAGAATGCGGCAGCTGGACTGGTGACTGGGAGCGGCCGCCGGGACCACATAACACCGGTCCTGAGAGATCTGCATTGGCTCCCAGTACGTTTCCGAGCACAATTCAAAGTGTTGGTGCTGACCTTTAAAGCCCTAAACAGCCTTGGTCCTGTATACCTGAAGGAGCATCTCCTCCCCCATCGTTCAGCCCAGACACTGAGATCCAGCTCCGAGGGCCTTCTGGTGGTTCCCTCATTGCGAGAAGTGAGATTACAGGGAACCAGACAGAGGGCCTTCTCGGTAGTGGCACCCACCCTGTGGAACGCACTCCCATCAGATGTCAAGGAAATAACCAGCTACCTTATCTTTAAAAGACATCTGAAGGCAGCCCTGTTTAGGGAAGTTTTTAATATTTAATGCTGTATTGTTTTTAACGCTCAATTGGGAGCCGCCCAGAGTGGCTGGGGAAACTCAGCCAGATGGGCAGGGTATAAATAAATTATTATTATTATTATTATTATATCATATCATATCATCATGTACATGCTGGCTATCTAACTGGGTTCCCCCAGCCACTGTCAAATTACTCAAATTAACCTATGTGCATATTTCTACCCAGGGTTCTGCATACTCCATGCTAAGCATTAGTAAATAAATTCAGTGCCAAGATAAACTGAATTTTACAACCCCATATAAATTATGCGAATTGCTCAGCTGCCATGTCTTCACTTATGTTGTAAGACTTATTCTTTCTTTCCTTTTTCAAGTTACTGGGGTAGGCGCTGCACAGGGCCCTGAAGCCTCACTTCCAATAACTGGAAAACGTATTAGTCCCCAAACTTTCAAGCATATATTTGGGGCTATAAGGACTAGAAACTTGGTTTTTTAAAAAAGAAATGAAAGCAGAGAATCTCAGAAATTAGATTTTGAAACTACAGTAACATTCTGTGTTCCCCCTCCGCCCCCTACAAAACTGTGACAAAATGTATTCCCCATCCCTTCCTCCTCCCTCCTCCTCCTCTTTTCCTTTCGTGCCATGCCTTTTAGACTGTAAACTTGCACACACAGGGACAACCTACTCTCCTATTGCTTTTACTCATCTTATGCAAGCCGCTTTAGAACACTACCAAGCAGAAGAGCACAGGCAGACCACTTTACAAACAGCCCATTTCTAGCGATTTTCACATCATATTTGAAAGACAGATATTAGTTCTAAGGAAGCTCCATTCAGTTGACCACCCTGTTTCCAGCACAGGGCATTAGGTGCCTCAGGGAAGCCAAAAGCAAGGCAAAACAGCCCTCTCCTGCTGTTAACTGGTACCCTGAGAGGTATACGGCCTCCAGACCCAAAGGGTGCATATAGCCATTATGACTAATAGCCACTGAAAGTCTCTTTGCTTCCCGAGTTGGTCTAATCCCCTTCTAAAGCTATTTAATCAGGGCCGGACTAAGCTGTTTTTGCTGCTTGATGGCATCTTGCCCTCATCCCGGCCCCACGTCAAGGTGCTTGCAGCCAAAGGCCGGTCAAGTTATTTTGACACCCGACGCACAAAAATCCCACGGGTACCTCTCCCTGGGTGTACAACCATCGCTTAGTAAATAATAGTTTTTAAAAGCCTAGCAAAACTAAATATCAGGTTGTTGTCCTTTCGTGACATTGAAAGTGAGCTGTCTGAGGCATCTGCCTCACTCTGTCTAATGAAAGGGCTGGCCCACAGCCTTTTAAGCAGTGTTAGAAACTCAGCTATACAAGTTAGGCACCAAATGGCTCCTTAAACCAGGGTCACAGTCGCCAAAACAGAATGTTTAGTTGATTTTGGGGCCAGACAGCTCGGAAGCAGTATTTTTCAATACGACTTTGTGGTTGGTTCCTGAAATTCATTCCGATTGTGCAGATAAAATATAACGGATTGCATTCTACAGGATGTGCTGCTAGTGTGTGAAAACAGCCAAGATCCAAGGTTCACCAGGCAGGCATCTCCAGATGGTGGAGACGTCAGGCATCATCCTGGCACCTGGGAAAGTCAGATGCAAAACGTGGCTGGCTAATTTCGAACATTGCTTTTAAGCTATCTAGCACAATTGCAGCAAATTCAGTAAGCTGAACGAAATATGAATTCAAGAGAACTAACAACTTCAGACCAAGCGTTGCACAAGAATTCTAAGGAACAGAATGATTTTTAAAAAATAGTCCAGTTTCGAAACCTGCAGTTGAAACCAATGCCATTTTGAAACCACTGGTTAAAATCAGTGCAGCTTTGAAAGGTTCAGCCAGCCACCTCTGTTCAAAATGGCATCTGGCTGGATCCAAAAATAGACCAAAATCATACTCTTTGATCATGCAAAATTTGGTTAAAATGCTTTAAGAGGAATCCCAACAAGCGGGCAAACAACTTCCCAAAATACGTAGCAGGTGGTGGGAACCTACACAACTGGAAGCAAAGCAACAGGTTTCTTCTCATACCTTAGCCGTGGCATGCGCCCGAATTTCAGCACTCCCCGTGATATCCAGTGTGTCGTACAACTGCTCATAGACCTGTCCAGAAAAGAGACAATAAAAAGGGGGGTGTCAGGGAGATTTGTGCGCCGAGTCTGGAGTTGACACCACTTGGAACACAGATGCTAAGGAGGATACTTGAAAGAAGCATCTGCTGTGGAATGGGAATATGGGATGGACAGAACAGGAGATAAGAGGGCATGGAAGCAAGACGGGGGGCGGGGAGAGCAGGTAGAACATCTCCTTTCATGGTGCTATGTTTCTATGATTCCGTTCTTGGTACCTCCGCGTAGACATGAGAAATACTCCAGTCTGAATCCCTGGCGAGCTGCTGTCTGCCAGTGTAAACAAGACAGTGGATGCTTAGGTTGCAAATGTGATCCGTGCGGGATGCATGTTCGCAACCCGCGTCTGCGCATGCGAGGGTTGTGATTCGGCACTTCTGTGCATAGTGCAATTTAGCGCTTCTACGCATGTGCGACTGCTGAAACCTGGAAGTAACCTCTTCCAGTACGTCTGGGTTCGCAGTGGTCCGAAACCTGAAAAAACGCAACCTGAAGCGTCTGTAACCTGAGGTATGACTGTAATGCTCTAGATGGGACCTATGGTCTGAGTAAATATATAAGGCTGCTTCCCTTCTTCCTAATACAGTAGTACCTCGGGTTACATACGCTTCAAGTTACATACGCTTCAGGTTACAGACTATGCTAACCCAGAAATAGTACCTCGAGTTAAGAACTTTGCTTCAGGATGAGAACAGAAATTGCGCGTCAGCAGCAGGAGGCCCCATTAGCTAAAGTGGTGCCTCAGGTTAAGAACAGTTTCAAGTTAAGAACGGACCTCCGGAATGAGTTAATTTCTTAACCCAAGGTACCACTGTATTGACTTTGAGGGGATACAGAAGGGATTAGGAGTGTTTAAAGGAGAGTCCAGACAGAGGCCACTTCAGACATTTTCCTGCGTGAGGCAGCAAGTGGTGTCAGCCCCCCTCCTATGAAAGGCACACAGTGCACCAAGGCCCATCAAGTTATTTCACCACCTGAGGCAGAAAAATCCCACAAGCACCTCTCCCCTTTGCCTAACGTTAAAAGCGCAGATAATAATACAGCTAAGTAACTAATGATTTGAAGCTCTTTTTAGGAAACCTCAAATCAGCTCTCTGAGACGAGCACCTGATAGTAGGGCCGCCTTGGTTCAGAGGCGGAGTTAGGGAGTGTAACTGGTTTGCCCGCCCTGAGAGGGCGCTGCAAGAAATAATAAAAATCATGGAGTTGGAAGGGACCCTAAGGACTATCTAGTCCAACCCCCTGAAATGCAGCTGTCCCACCCGGGCATTAGGATCACAGTGCTCAAACCAACTGAGCTATCCAGGCATCAGCATGATGCAGAGCGGAAGGCAAGAGGCTAGATGCACCAGATTTTGGCGTTGTGCTGAAATTTGAAAGCCCCAAGTCTGCCACTGCCTGATTGCAAACATAGGACAAAGGTCGGGGTGACAGGGGAGTGACAAGAGGCCAGATGCGTGTGACACAGGTGCAACTGGCAGTGACAGGTGGCGGAAGTGGGTGATGAACTGGTACAGAGGAAGAAGGCCAGGCAAGGAGCGCGGGAAAGGAGAGGAGGCTAGGGGAGAGACGAAAGTATAAATGAAGAAAAGGAGAAGCGTCTGCCAAGGAAGGACCCAGGAAGAGTCGCTCGCTCACCTCCCTGATGGCCGAGCAGAATTTGCTCTGCAACACCCTCTGAAGGGCTTGGAGTTTCTGAGGCGGCACCTCCCCGCTGCGCTGCAGCCGCTCCAGCAGTTCAACCGCCCGCGCCACATCTGAGGAGAGGGAGAAGAGACGGCGGGGTTGTCAGCGGAGAGGGAGGAAGCCCCGGGCCGCCTCGGGCGACGCGCCTCAGCCGCCCCGGCGAACATCGCCTCGCGCTTCCCTTGCGCTCTCGCCGCGCGTAAAGGAGAGCGCGCGAAAGCGAAGATCCGGGCGAGCTGCGAGGAAGCGGCGCCGATCTCCTCCTCAGCAGCCATGCTGAGCAAGGGAGGGAGGGAGGGAGGGAGAGAGGAAGGACCCACCCGCCACCTCCATCTTTCCGCGGGATCTCGCCTTCCCGCGCGCGCCCCGGCCATGCTCTCTTCCCTCCCCGCCATCCCCCTGGGACGCAGCGAGGGCGCACGGCTCTTGCTCGCTTTTGGTGCGTCGAGGCTGGCGGATCCATCCGCCCCGATCCTCCTCCTCCTCCTCCCTCCATATACGCGGGAATCTCCCCCTTCCAGCCACCCGCGGATCTCTCCCACTCCAGGCGCAGGAGATGCCCACCCCTCTCCAAGACCATGTCTCCCCTCCTTCTCCACCGCCGGCGCAGCTTACCCCTCTCCAGCCCCAGAGGCTCGGCCAGCGCTGCCATCTTCGCTCTTGCGAAGCCCCACCGCCGCCTCTCGCACGTCAACGCGCGGAGAGCGGCGAGGGGAGGGAAGAGGGCTTTGCAACCTGATACGCCGCAGCCCTGCCCGCTGGGCTGCTGGTGCGCGTGTCTGCCGCGGCACGTGCGGAGGGCGCCCGGCCCCCTCCCGTGCACCGCTTAGGCCCGGCGGCCAGGAGATGCGCCTGGGCCGCGCCGCACAAACGCCCGAGCGAAGCGGCCCGAGGAGGAGCCATCATCCTGCGCGCGCCTCTCCACGGATCCCCCCCCCTTTTCCACCCCCTTCGCCTACGTACCGCGTCCGACCCGCAGCCGGTGGGGCACCATGGTGGACTGGCCAGGCGAGATCCTTGGTCGTTGCAGCAGCAGCGCGAGGCGACGAGGGAGATCCGCTCACCGCTGCATCCCCTTCCACGCGTGCTCCCACCCGTGCAGGATGCGCAGCGACTTCCTTTTCTCCACCCCCACCCCGCGAGAGTGCCTTACGCGGATGTTAGCATCGTTATTAAAGCGCATCGCAGGTGAATCAGCGCTTTGAACTTGCCACTTCTAGGCGCCTTTGAAGAATCGGACGCAACCCCAACCTCCTTGCAGAAGTCCCGTGCCTTACGCACACGTTTATTACAGGTTTGGAAAGCCATGAACAGGAAAATATCTTTGTTAATGTTTCAGGCCTCCTTTCCAGAAGCTCGCACCCAGAGCGAAGTGGAAAACGGCGGTCCAGTCAGCAGGTGACTCACTGTGTCGTTTCCCCCCCTTTAATTCATCCAGCTGGTCTCAAGTATTTTTTATAGTAGGCGATTGTGTAATGAAAAGCTAAAGGCGAACACCTGACAAACATGTTAAATTTGCACAAACTATCTGGAGCATAAAAATTATACACGCTGGATTTCAATAGGATATATGGGAAGGTAGATGGCATCCATTGCAGAATTCAGGATGCAAGAGCCATTTCTCTTCCCCACTGAATCATGCAGATCCCACGGGTTGAACTGCTATCACTATCTATTGCACAAGATGGATGTGAAGATCAAATGGAGGCGGCAATCATGTTTACCAGAATTAGCTCCCTGGATAATTTTTATTTAACAAAATTTTCTGCTCGATTGTAAGAAAACCATTTACCCACAGTGCCTCCATCTTGCCAGGGTTCAAGTTCAGCTTATTTTCACTCCTTCATCCCATCAGTGCATCCAGGTACTGACTGGTCCAGGGCCTGCAAGGCCTTCTGATGTAGATGTTATGGAGAAACAGGGCTGAGTGGAAGAGATTGTGAAGAGCGCTAAAAGGACCTCTCCAAACTGGGGGAATGGGCAGTAGCATGACAAATGCAATTCAATGTGACATAAGGCAATTCATGTCACATAAACAATCATGGGGTGACTGACCAGGAACGAGACCTTGGATAGCTTGATGAAGATGTTGATCCATTGGGGTGGCAGCGGTGAATAAGCTAATTCCACATCAGGAATCATTAGGACAGGAATTGAAAAATAAAACTGCTGATATTAAAGAAAGCTATGGTGTGGCATTTGGAATACAGTGTACAGTTCTGGTCATCTCACAATATTGTAGAGCTGGAGGTGGTCCAGAAAAGAGCAACCAAAATGATCAGGGGTGGAGCAGTTCTCTTATGAGGGAAAGTCGCAGTGTTTGGAGAGGTAAGAAGTGACATGATTGAGATTTACAAATTCATGCATGGCATGGAGGAAGTGTATAGTGAAATTTTTCTTCCTCTCTGCTGTGGCCATCCAATGCAGCTGAATGTTTAAAGATTATGGGCAGACAAAAGAAAGTACTTCTCTGCACAGTGCAGTTAAACTATGGAACTCACTGCAGCAGGAGGCAGTGATAGCAACTTGGAAGAGCGTTAAACTAACTTACGTTGGCTATGCTCTGCCTCCAGAAGCAGTATCCTTGAATTATCAGTTGCTGGAAATAATACTAATGCCCCACATTTCTGGCTGGGTTTCTCCAGGCACTGAGGTGGCTTCCAGAAGCTTGTGCTTGGGTTCTGTTTGTGGGTTTCCCACAGGCATCTGGGTGGCTACTGTGAGAACTGACCCAACATCCTTGCAGAGAAATTGCCACTACTAGTCCAAACCTTCGGAGGTAAAGACTCCATCAAGGGTGTGCCCTTCCAAACCTTTGAATGCTGGACCAGTGACAATTTGAGACAGCCCCGTGGTTGTCATGTGACCATGAGGTCCTAAACTGGCCCAGCAGCAGCATCCACATAGATACTGAAGTCATAGAATCATAGAGTTGGAATAGACCACAAGGGCCATCAAGTCCAACCCCCTGCCAAGCAGGAAACACCATCAGAGCACTCCTGACATATGGTTGTCAAGCCTCTGCTTAAAGACCTCCAAAGAAGGAGACTCCACCACACTCCTTGGCAGCAAATTCCACTGTCGAACAGCTCTTACTGTCAGGAAGTTCTTCCTAATGTTTAGGTGGAATCTTTTCTTGTAGTTTGGATCCATTGCTCCATGTCCGCTTCTCTGGAGCAGCGGAAAACAACCTTTCTCCCTCCTCTATATGACATCCTTTAATATATTTGAACATGGCTATCATATCACCCCTTAACCTCCTCTTCTCCAGGCTAAACATGCCCAGCTCCCTTAGCCATTCCTCATAAGGCATCGTTTCTAGGCCTTTGACCATTTTGGTTGCCCTCCTCTGGACATGTTCCAGTTTGTCAGTGTCCTTCTTGAACTGTGGTGCCCAGAACTGGACACAGTACTCCAGGTGGTCTGACCAGAGCAGAATACAGTGGCACTCATCCAGGACTATTGTCCTATGATCCCCTTAACACCATGTCAGAGACTACCTCTGCCAGCTTGGTTAGGGATGCCACTGGGCAACAGGGTGGCCAGTAGACCAGCAGCACCCCCAATTTGTCTTTCGAGCCCACCACCAGGTGCAGACCGCTAAGACCACCCCAAGAGGTATTCTGGTAAAGGAGATGGTGCTTCTATGGTAGCCAACACACACGACCCAGTCCAGACTGGTATTGTATTGAGTACCCAGATGGGCACAGCTGAGTCAGGTCAGTAGCACCCAGTGCACCCCCTTCATCCGCAATTAAGTCATGGAGGGGCATGGTCCTATTGTGGCATTCATTTATAAGACCACCAAACCAGAGGAGCCAGTAACCTCTGAAGGAGTAGGAAGACTGCAACAGGGGGCCATCTCCTTCCCAGATGGTGGTCAACCCTTTCACTCCAACTATACCTTACCTGGCCCACCACCACTGAAACTGGGGCATCTTCTCAACTCTCTGCTACCTGCCAACCCAGATACAAACTAGTGCCATAATTGTCACCTACACAGCTGGGAGATTAGACCACAGGCCAAGTAGAAAGTTCATGCCACACTCCTCTTTGCCTCACTCAAGGGGAACCTGCCAAGCAAAAATTCCCCTTCCTCCAGGCTATTGCCAGGTCCTGGGCCTGTCTCCTGCAATGCTTGACCTACAATTCCCTATCTTGACTGATGGGTGCGTGCCCCTTTACCTCCCCAAAGGCAGCAACCCCACCACAGTCAACTCTGCCAGATGTGTCAAGTCTGCTGTTACAGTAAGGCAGGCTCTGGGCCACCCCCATGACTGATAGGCAGTCAGTCAACATTCAAGGAGTATCACTTGCAATCAGCACCCACTTTAAGCTGCAAGCAGGTATCTAACAGGACAAACCGATGCAAGGCAAACTCTCTCTTGGTAGCTGGGTGAGTAGATCAGGCAGGGGGCATGGAAGTTCCAAACAGCCCCTCCCTGCGTAGTCCCCCTGCAGATCTGCTCTCATGAGATACATTTTTTTAAAAATGAAAAATGATATTAAATATACACAGTGGTACCTCGGGTTACATACGCTTCAGGTTACACTCTCCGCTAACCCAGAAATAGTGCTTCAGGTTAAGAACTTTGCTTCAGGATAAGAACAGAAATTGGGCTCCGGCGGCATGGCAGCAGCAGGAGGCCCCATTAGCTAAAGTGGTGCTTCAGGTTAAGAACAGTTTCAGGTTAAGTACGGACCTCCGGAACGAATTAAGTACTTAACCCGAGGTACCACTGTATATATATTAGTCTGCTTGTGGGATTTTCATATGGGATAAAAATGTTCTCTAGCAAAGCATTCAATAATTCTCCAAAAAATGAGCCTGCCATGGTGGCAGGCTTCCCACACAAGAGAAAAATAGCATGGTAAACAGCTCAGACACAGACCAGCAGATGGGGCTTCTAAGCAAGAGTTCCACAGCCCATGCTCATAGCCTACATTTCTCCCACACACTCTGCTACTGTTCCAGGCATCCTTACACAATTCTCTACTCCAGTACCAGTTTGGGCTAGCAGCTGTATGCAGCTTGCCTCCTTGCCAAATTCTGCTTGTAGGAGCCTGCCCTCCTATTAAATTAAGCTGCAGCAGAGATGCAGTACGTGAAGGACGATGAGCCATGAAAATGTCCACTTCTCTAAACAAATGATATTCAGACCCTGCAAGAAAAGTAGGCCCCTGCTGAAGAATCATAAAAGGTATTTCTTAATACCTCCATCTCAGTCTAACCATTCCTATTAGCAGATATATTTTGTATTCAGGAGAGGTGGTAGCAAGGGCACCAAAAGCCTTCGATTCTGCTCGTCTAGTGTAATCTACTCATCACCAAAGCTTTCAGCCGCCACCTCTAGGCCTTACTGCCAAGCCATGACTCCAACTTCTGAGCTGCCAGTGCTGGCAGGGTTATGTGTACACTAGGGTTCCCTAGGAATCTCTGCTTTCATATGACTAAAACAGGATTCTGGGCCTTACCAACACAGCTTCAAAGATATACTTGAAAGTGCATGGAGCAGAACAGTGGTACCTCGGGTTAAGAACTTAATTCGTTCTGGAGGTCCGTTCTTAACCTGAAGCTGTTCTTAACCTGAAGCACCACTTTAGCTAATGTGGCCTCCCACTGCAGCAGCGCTGCTGCCACCGCACAATTTCTGTTCTCATCCTGAAGCAAAGTTCTTAACCCAAGGTACTATTTCTGGGTTAGCAGAGTCTGTAACCTGAAGTGTTTGTAACCCGAGGTACCACTGTACTGGCAAAGATCTTGAAAGACAAGAGGGCTGGCTAAAACATGCCCAGTGAGTTGCAGGTGTAAATCTTGTCCCTGCCCTTGCCTATCACTTAGAATAAATTATTAAAAATAATTTTAAAATGCATACTTCTGAACATACAAATTGTGACAGTGAAGTTTTCTTACTGTAAAATCTGGTTTACTTGGACACAGAACTACCGTATTTTTCACTCTATAAGACGCACCATACCACAAGAGAGTTTTTGGAGGAGGAAAACAAGAAAAAAAATATTCTGAATCTCAGAAGCCAGACCAGCAAGAGGGATCGCTGCGCAGTGAAAGCAGCAATCCCTCTTGCTGTTCTGGCTTCTGGGATAGCTGCGCAGCCTGCATTCGCTCCATAAGACGCACACACATTTCCCTTTACTTTTTAGGAGGGAAAAAGTGAGTCTTATAGAGCAAAAAATACAGTAGTTTCTTTCAGTACAAAATATACAGCCTGGACAACACTGGACCTAGACTTTCTTCCTATTGCTGGGCTCCAAATTAAATAGTCCCAATTCTTGGCTATTCTCCACGACAAAACCTAAACTTCGTAGAGTACCTTCCTCACAGATGCCATCATTAGGCAAAGTCTAAATAAACTTTTTTTGTGTTTAAAT